GCTGCTCGGTGCTATCACGTCGATCAGTACTACAGTTATGTTTATGAAGCTCATTTCAAGGTGAACTGATAAGCCCGAAGGAGTTCACGGTGCGCGCCAACAAGGACAAGCAGAAGGACTGGAAGGGAAGTATTCGTATTGGCAAGTCCAACATGAGGTAGGTCTCTCCTCCTTGCTAACAACGAGGAGCACAGTGCGTACACGGGAAATTGCAGGGCGTTGATGGAGATGAAGACGCTGGACTTCTTCAATCACGAGAACTACTGCAGCGCCAAGTGCCAGTCGCGCAATTTCATGTCGTTCAAGAACCAGCTTGCCGAAGCTTATCTCAATGCCGATTATCTGTACGGTAACTCGTCGGCCGCACTGGACGATGACAAGAAGAACGTGCACATGATGATGAAGTAGTGCATTTACCTAATTCAGCCATCCCACGCACGCTCCTTTGCACCCACGTTGCTTGTATTATTCGCTCTCGTTTCGTTCACTTTTACTGTTTGCAGTAACTATGGGCAGTCGAACGATCGCTGCAACTCGGTGATCAACGGTAGGTCGCTTCCTCTTCCGTTTTATATTCTTTTCACTGTTAACTTGGCGTTCGCCCTGTCTGAAGCGAGCGAGGCTTTTTTCCTGTCCCAGTGAAACTGCAATGCGAGGGAGACGGAAGAGCGACTCCTTCGTGCGTTGCTGTTGCCGAGCCTCTTCATCTGATCCGACTGGCGCGTGGAGCTGCTCAAATACGAGTACTTGCATCTGAATGGCTATTGCGAGGCTGATCTAGCTGGATTTCTGTGAGCGCATTTGCCAACAGTAATCATCTGCCGTTGACAGAAGGTACCACAAAACTAGCATTTTGCATCAGGGCCTTCCTGAGGCAGCTCGGCTCAACAGGGACAGCGGATGGAATTGCATACCAGTAACGCCACTAACGTGATTGCTCGGCCGGCATGTGTACGCGTCTATGCATTAGTGTATTGAATTTTGTCCTGCTGTACGATTCAGAGCGATCCATCCATCATGCAACACTGCCTGCGCCTCACCCGCCGCCACCGTAGAGCGTACGAATGAGGAATAGCAACCAATGGTGGTACTGCCGAAAGGCGTGCTGCTGCGTCGAGAGAGCCACCTCCCACCCACTGCTGAGGCTGGCGTGAGGGTGGCGGCCAGTTGCTGCTGGTTGAGGTTGTTTGCCGAACATCCGAACGGATGAGGGAGCAGCAAGCCTTCCTCCCTCTCTCTCTCTCCCCAGCGCATTGTGCTGCAGCAGGGGAGGTGAGTACGCT